TATCTTGTTTGGACAGTGGCTACATGGTTGCATATATATGTTAATCAAACCTTTTGAGTTTAATAGGTAAGATCTGTGCACTTTATTATCTAAAATTATAGCTCTAAATTTTTTAGGAAGAAGAAAGGCTAAAGAGGGGAACCCAGGGCATTAATAACTATATTATGTTTTGGTAATCTATCATAAAATTTATCATTTTAAACATTAATAGGTATGCCACTTAATGGCATTAATTATGATCACAATATTGTACAATCATCAGCATCATTCATTCCCAAAACTTTTCATCCATGTAATAAATGCTCAGAAAACACAACAAAACAAAACAACTAAAAAAGCTGTTCATCCCCAAAAGAAACTGTAAGGCACGTTCCCTTCTCTGTGCCTTACACCAGCACCTGGGAACCTCTTTCCCCTCTCTGTCTCTATGAGTCTGTCTGGGTACCTGATGTAAGTGGAATTACATGACATTTGTTCTTTTATGTCTGACTCATTCCACTTAACATAATGTTTTCAGGGACCACCCTTGTAGCATGTACCAGCTTTTTAGTCCTTTGTAACATTTTCTCTCTGCATTGATCTGATAATGGGCATTTAGGTTGTCATCATCTTTTGACTACTATGAGTAAAAGTAATTTGTTTCTCCTGTTGCTTTGGTGCACATTTGAATCATTGACTTCAGTGATTGTGAATGAAGCTGCTCTCTAGTAGAAGTCTTTTAATAGAGGCTAAAATCCACGTGCTCAAGTTTATCCACAAAGGACTGAAAACTACTAAACAAAATCACACGCATGCGGATGAGCTCCACTGCAAATTCATAGCTTCCAACCTCGGTGAGCCTCTGCCTTGTCTTTCAACTGCTCACAGTCCTGCGCTTTGCTCTTTTTTCTTCCTCTCAACATTGATACTAAATGATGACAACTTTATTCAAAGCTCCTTTACTGTTCTTATTCCCAAAGATGAATCTAATTTAAATCACTTCAAAGTAACCTCCCCCAAAGGATGCATAATAGAAGGGAAATAAATTTTTGCTGATTTACTTCCTGTGTGCTCAATGGAACTGCCTGCTTCGCAAGTTTATTCTTAGGGCTGCCTCCACTTTCAAGAGGTCAAGCTTAGTCCTCTTAAGACCAAGATCTCCACCTGTGTGTGTAACTCCATCGCCTGTGCGGATCTGTACCCGCACCCATCCTTCCATCCCTTCAGTCACTGGTCTTTCACATCATTGTAAATATGCCTGAGATTACTTTTTAAATCAACAAGAAAAAGCATTTCCAAGAAACTTACATTTCCTAGGTTTTTAAAAATTTTATTTTAAAGAGGGTAAAACAGAACAAAGCAGATCAGAAGAAAATAATGTAAGTGACACAGATTTCAAAGCAAAACAACAGGAGATCATCACTGGCTATCACAATGTCTCTTGTTTTCTTCTAAATAGTTGTCAATGTCTTCCCACACAATGAATTCATACAAAACAAAACAGTATTAAACTGATCAGAACAGAACGATGAAGGCATTACAGGCCTTCAAAACCAGACAATAGGGAAATGAACAATGGCTGCCATAATGTCTCTCGTTCTCTCAAATTTAATTCATATTTCTCCTGACATCCTGTTGTTCTTTAAATTCATGGCCCTTAAAATGTTTTATATGTGCTTATTTATTGTGGTGTTTGTTATCCCTCCCAAGATTCTAAGCTCCACAGGGAAAAAATCATGTACCTGTCCTTTATCAATCTAAACACAACTCTTAGGACAGAGCTTAGTATTGGTAAATACTTAGCATATTTTCCATGGTTAGATTATTTCTGACCAGGCACCTGAGAGCCACCTAGTCTTGTGTTTTAATACTGTCTTCCGCTCTACATGTCGTATTTCTCGTTAATACCAGACCTTGCAGATTTAATTCAGTTTCTCACCAATGTGTTTACCAGCACTGCCCTGGTCCAGTTCTCTTTCATCTCTTGAACCCCACCCTCGCCAGCTGTTCACTTTGAATTCTTTTTTTAAAGTTTTTAAACTAATTAAGTTTATTGGTACACTTTAGATATACATAATAATCACATTCATCATAGGAAATTTGCACTTGTACACGATGTATCTTGCTTCTTTTTTCCCTATTTTTCTCCTCTCCTTTCAATCTCTTCCTCTCCTTATTTGTGAAAGTTTTATTTACATTTTTCCTTCCTTCTCATTTTTCTTTTCTCTTCCTTTTTTCCCTCCTTTCCTCACCCTAGTTCCTCTTCCCATTTGAACATTTTCTTCCTATTTCACAATATCTCTTTACACATTTTGGTATGTATTTACAGTTTCTTTTCTTCAGTTTGTCATGTGAGAGAAATGATGTGATATTTACACACGTGTGTACAGTTTATTTCACTTAAGACTATAGTCTGGAGGTGCATTCATTTACCCAGAAATATGTCAAGTTTATCCTTCCTTATGGCTGAGTAGTGCTTAATCACATTAAAAAAACAAGTGCAGATTCCATCTCACTCCACAAAGAATGGCTATGGTCAGGAAGTCAACAAATAACAAATTCTATCCTTATACAAGCAAAACCAAATAACAAAAGCTGAAGAGACTGTGGGCGGGGGAAGGAACCCTTCTCCCCTGAAGACTGGTGGAACCACTGTAGAAACGAGTGTGGAGATTGGTCAAAAAACTACAACTAGAGGCTCCATTTGACCCAGATTTTGCCTTTCTTGGTATCTTCCCAAAATAATTAAAAGCATCGTACCACAGTGATACATATACACCCATGTTTACAGCAGCACAGTTTGTAACAGCTCAAATACCTATCAATAGATGAACAGATAAAGATGATGTGGTTTTTTATACAACACTTTGAATTCTGGTTTGTGCCTTGTATCATCCTCTGGGCCACCGTAGTGGGACCTAAAGTAGAGATCCTTCACTTCCTTCCTGAAAGCCCTCGCTGCACACTGTATAAAGAATGACTTCTTAACCTTAGGCTATAGGACACCCGGATAATCTGGCCCCTGCCTCTGCTCCTACACTCGTGTCTCACCATTTAGCTTTACCTACTAAGCTTCAATAACATCAATCTGCTTATGTTTCCACCTCATGTTATTGCTCCTTGAAGAAGTATCCGTCTCATTGTTGGAGCAACTATCCCCTTGTTCTTTTCCCTCTAACCTCGCTAACTCAGAGCTGTAGTTGGATCCACTATTTTCTCTTCCAGGGAGTCATCTCTGATCCCCCGGGATGGGCTACAAGCCACTCTGTGGGATTTACATAGCTTACAATATACATCTCTATTGTTTTACCACATATTCAATTGTTTGCCTTCCTCATAGGTAGTGAGATCCTAGGAACACTCAGTACTTTATGAACATCTGCTAAATTAATTATAAGAATGAAAACATAGCATTCAAATTGCATTAGTGTAATTACTTTTGACCATAATAACATCGAAACTACAAAATTTATGTGTAGCCAGAACTATGTCAAATATATTACATAACTGTTTGGTTCACTGCACTTCATTCTTTTTCATGTAGTTAATGCTCCCTAAAGGCTGCCACTCTACATCACGTCCTCTTTGATCAGCAAGCCAGAGTCTGACTACCTTTTTCTAAACGTAATGAAACCTTGTTTCTCACTGCATGTACTGCATAGTCTCACTAGGTGCGTTTTCACTTAACAAGCTCTGAAAATAAATTTTTCATTTACGTCAGAGGTTTCTCTAAGCCTTCTCTGAAGTTAGTAATGTTTTCTCATTATGATTTTCATTCTTGGTTTCAATATGCTGTTAATCTCTTTGACATGCATGTATATTCAATGGTATTTAATAAAAAAAGTGGTTTCTTCCATAAACATCAATGTTTTTGAAAAATATCTTAAATTTTTATATAACCAATAACTGGATAAAAACCTATGAAAAGTGAACAAAATGTTGACCTCTTACTTATGATCAAATTTTAGTTGTTTTAGGGATTTTTATATTTTAAGTGACAGTTATGATTAAAGTATATAAGTATAGGTTAACAAGTATGAATTCTTGTTTGGATTCTGTGTGTGTAGTTATAATGAACCTAACTACAGTAAATATAATAATTATATATATGCATACATACACATGTGGATATAGATGGATGTATATGGTTGTATGTATATATGCACATGCAGGCATATAAAGAGTCTGCCAAAAAGTGTATGCACACTTCAGGGAAAGAAAAACTTGTACAAATATTTTAACACTAAATTTAATAAGACATCATGAGATTAAAACCAAATCACCTTTGGCCTCTACAATTACAAGAGGTGCTCAAAGTGGTGGTAGTTAGCTTCCAGACCTTCAAAATCCTGTTTTTCTTTTCCTGAAGTGTGTATATATTTTTTGGCAGACTCTGTATATATGACTTTAATATGCATTCAATCTTTTAAAATCTAAATTGGAAGAACTATCTTGGTTAAGTCTTTGGTTAAAGCTTTCATCAGGAATTAAACAAACAATAGTTGACATATGGGAAGAAGCCTATCTCTGGACCCAAAACATCAGCATTCTTATTAGAGTTCATAAATCTTAGACATCATGTAGGCTAATCTACTTAAGCTGATAGGTTGACACCAAGAATGCTCAAGTTATTTTCTGCAAATAGAATAGATAATTATCATTAAACTTAGGGTCAAAGTTCTAGATTTCCTAATTCTAAGTTTAGTTGCCTTTCTATATCCAAGCAGGCTGTCAAGGAAGAAATACAAAGTGCTCACCTGAGCTGCTTTAAATTATACAGATTTATTTAATTCATACGCCAATAACAGTTCTCTAAATATCTATGCACTAGACACAGATTAATTTCCACCTGTGTGGATATTAAGATAATTTTTAATACCATGACAAGAAGAAAATCAGCTTTTAGAACATAAGAATTACTAAGTAGCCAAAAATTTTGTAGCTGCTTTCAAAGGAAAGTTGATTATTAAATTACAAACCCCTTAGTTTCTGTGTCTATAATCCCCAGCAACAAATCTTACCCAAATGGAAGATCAGAAATGAAAGTAAAGGCAATGGTTAAAATTCTAAGGAACTTAAGTTGTTGAATATCAGAAGGAATTGTTTTGATAGGATTATTTCTCAGTTTCAGTACTTGTAAATTTTTAAGACAAAATATCTGAAGAACAGAAAAGAGAGACAAACATAAGTGGAATACTAAAGTAGCAAATTCCTATTTATTACCTCTTATGAACTTTTTAAATTAATCTAATAAAATTAGGATAGCAACAAAAATTATCTGTAGTACTGTACATCTCCATAAAACTTTTAATAAATTTTTAAAATTAAGTGACCTGTATTAGCATGCATGATGTTTAAACAGTTCACCTACTGTACTCATATGTCCTGAAATAAAAGACAGTCCTTTTCTCAGTGAGAAAGGTTGCCCTTTCTTAATCATGTAAAGGTGATGGAGGGAGGGGACAGCTGCAGAACCAAGAAGATAAGTAGAAATAACTAGCGGTCAGTCACATGTCAGATATATTAATTTGCTTCTCTTTTCTTAAGTAATTGCTTTATGTATTCCAATTTGCAATGTTGATTGGAACTGACAATAATAGACATCCTTAACTTGTTCCTGATTTAGGAGGAAAATTTTCAGTCTTTCACCATCAAATATGATATTAATTGTATATGTTTGTGTGTGTGAATATCTTTTTATCAAATCGAAGAAGTCCCTTTTATTCCTAGGTGTGGAGTGCTTTTGTCATAAAAGGGTGTTAGGTTGTTCCAGAGATGTCTTTCTGTGTCTATTAAGACAACTGTATAGTTTTTTTTTTTTAAAAATCTCTTTACTACAGTATATTAACGCTGATTTTCCTATGTTAAAGCACCTGGAGATAAACCTCACTTGTTTATCTTAATTAGTTTTCTAAATGAGTTTTCTTGTTGCTAAATTTGATTCTGATAGCATTTTTGAGAACTTTTAGTCCATAGTATAAAATATATTTTTCTATAGTTAGTTTTCTTATATATTTTGTCTAGTTTTGATATCAATGTATTACTGGTTTAATGGTTTGAAATGGAAAATAGCCTCTCTTCTATTCTTTGGAAGAGTTTGTGAAGGATTGGTTTAACACTGTTTTAAAGGATTGGTAGAATTCACCCATGAAGCCATGTAGTCCTAGATTTTTCTTATACTCATGATTAAGAATGAGCTCTTTAATGTCCACACATTGCTGAATTTTCTACTTTCTTTTAGTTTTTAATTTCTAATTTCATTCTGCTATAGCAAAAAAAATGCTTGTGATTTTAAATCCTTTTAAATTACAAAGACTTGTTTTGGGAGCTTAATACGTGATCTGTCTTGGAAAACACTGTACACAAATTTGATGATTGTGTATTTTGCTGCTATTGTTTGGAGTGTTTCATGGATAGATGTCTGTTAGGTCTGAATGTATTATAGGGTTTTTCGAGTTAATATTCTAGCATCCGGATAGACTGAGAAAATGTCTTTCTTTTCTTAGTAACATTTTTGTTTTTAAAAATTAATTTTGTCAGGTATATTTTAGTCACTACAGGTTACGGATGTTTGCATGATATATCTTTTTTCATACTTTTATTATAATCGCTTTGTAGCTTTCAATCTTAAGTGTATCTTCTATAAATAACACATTGATAAACCTTGTGTTTTTAAAATTTAGTTTGACGGCCTATTAGGATTAACAAATTCATAAGTTCATTTTAGTTTTTTTCAGAATTAGAAAAGTAAATTAGTTTTTGTACATTGTACAATTATGAGAACACATTTAAAAGCTTGACATAGCCTTTGAGAATTATGTCACAGGATTTCCCAAGAAAAGCATTCTGTTCTTTTTATATTTCTGTAAGCCTTTTTGGATGTAATCCAAAATGTATTTTCTTTATAGTAACTCTGCAATAAAATTGCAAATATTCGTAATAACAAATTATAACTACGTATGTGCTACATATGTATACATACATATCCTACATATATAACAAACGATAGCTACATATATGCAATAATAAAGATGGACTTACTTCTGTGGGAAATTTCGTGAAATCATTGTATGATAAATTAAGATATACCAATTGGGAAGCCAAACATGTTAAATCTGGACAAGTCATGATAAAAAATCCCTAAAGGAAAGTAATATGAGATAAGATATTCATTATTAACAATAAATTGTCTCCATATTTCTAGCAGCAATATTCCAACTTCAATAACAAGATATGCTATCAAGTTTTTCCCAAGCCATAAAGGGAGAAATTATGTCACTAAGAGGTTTTTGTTTATATATATTTCTGTTTTATTTTGCTTGTTTTTTTGTTTTGTTTTGTTTTGTTTGGTGCTGAGAAATCAAACCATGCCAGCCAGGTGCTCCATCACTGAGCTACACCCCTAATCTCTCTGTGTAGTTTTAAAGTACATTGTTTCTAGTGTAAAGTCAAGCAGTTTCATATTTATAAGGGTAATCTGTTTCAGTGAACTATCTATCAATGTGTTTTGTCCATTTTTTGAGTGAATGCTAGTGCAAATGAAATTAATTTTTTGTGGTTATACAGAAACACAACAGATTTTGTGTGTTGATCTTACATACTATAACTGCTAAATTTACGTAAGAGCTATAGTGACTTTCTTGTCAGTGCTAATCATAACTCCATTAGCTATAATTTCCAAGTGTTGAAATTGTAAAAGATGAAAATCCCTAAAGGCTACAATATATAGCTATCAAAATCCCCCAAATAATCCTGAAAGATGAAAATTCAGAATGTTGGAAACCTGACAGGTGAAATCCCTAAAACTGCCATTCTCATTGACGGGATGTGGAGGGTGAAATGCTATCGATCAAAGAGGGTAGAAAGCTGAATTCTTGGGAAGGCAGTAGGGAGTTTTCTGTGCTAGCCAAGACAGTTGCCAAATTATTCAAAAAAGTATTCAGTAAACTCAGTGATCTTCCAAACCAGACACATACTGATAGAGAGCTACTTCTGGGCTATTTCAGAGATGAGTAGATCTAGAATGTGTGTGCTAGGATTGATTCATGGAGCAATGCTAGGCTCAAGTGCACTAGCATTAAGGGTGCAATTGCTATCTGCCCTAAATAGTCTGGCTAAAATAAAAGAGGCAGAAAGATACTGTTAAGGCTGCTTGCTGTTTTGCTACCTTCTGTCCTTCATGAACTGTTGCCCCTCTGCTATGTGCGTCCTGCTTTGGAGGCAGAAGATTATGGACTGAAACTTCTACAAACTGTGAGCTAAATAAACCTTTCCTGTCTTTAACTTTGGGTGTCAGGTAGTTTGTCTAAGCAACAAGAGAAGTAACTAAGACACACAGTGAAATAATCTTGGTTAGAGATTTGATTATCAAAGATCAACTTAGATTTACCACTAAATCTAACAGAAACACTAGTGCATACCTTGCTTTGGCTAATATGTGGCACTTTCAAAATTGTCCCAATTGGGGTTTTATTTGTTTTAAAAATAAATCAAATAAATAGATTTTGGAAGCCAAAGAGTTCTAGGTTCAATCTAAGCGGTTACTTGCTTATTATGTGATCTTTGCAATTTGGTTTCATTGAACATTAATGTTTTCATCTGTAAAATGAAGATTGTAATAACTACTTTAAGAATTCTAAATTTAGGTGGAGCACTTGCTTTGAACATAGTGGGTGCTTAGTAAGTGGTGATTAGTATTAGTGTTAATCATCATACTGGGCTTGTATCCAAGAAAAAGCTAACCTACATAAGGTCCAAAGATCGTTGATTACTTAAAAATATGATAAATCTTTCTGAATTCCACCTCTCTTATCATGCTAAATAATGACCAAAAAACACTGTAACTGTTTTGGATCTGAGTATCTTTTTTAAAACTTGCTGGGCTAAACTAAAACAGATTTAGAGATACAATTTTAATGTGTTCTTGGAAAATATTTTTTGCAATAGGAAACATTACTTAACTGAAAGTAAAAAATACTGTAACTGTAACACAGTAAGACAGTATCATTAAGAAGATCTGACATACCTTAAGACTAAGTGCATTTCTTCCATATATTTGGCAGTTTATTATGGCCAGTTCAGCCATTGCCATGACAGTATCAGGTTTTGTTGCTGCAACAGTCCTAAAACCTTCACCATGTAAAATGTGGGCATCTGAATAATCTATTTTTCTTCTAGGGATATCTAAATAATGAAAACAGAACATCAGACTTAATTATATTATCGCAGCTAGGTGCAGAGGAGCGTGCCTATAATCCCAGCGCTGAGTGAGGCTGAGGTAAGAAGATGGCAGGTTGGAGCCAAATTGGGCAACTTAGCAAGACCCTATCTCAAACTTTTAAAACACAGGGCTGGCCCAGTGTGGAGGCTCTGGGTTCAACCCCCAGTAAAGGGTCAGGGGAGAAATGAATAACCATAAGACGCATCCTCTGGGAAGAACTTATTTGTGTCTTTCATACCTCAAATCTTGGTTAGTTCTGTTTGCCAAATTGGACCTTGTTTTGCTGTTTTTTAAAAAGTAGGCAGCACAATTGTCTTTCAAAAATAACTGTGTGCTCATAGATTTCGACCTGGATAATTTAGATTCCCACTAAAAAATTTAGATTCTCCTTTAATGCATGAATTGAATGCCCCACATAATTTAATTCTTCCCTCTGTAGATTCCATGAGAAAATCAAAGGAAGAAAAGGCAACCCAGAAATTAGCCTAATAGATACCTTTTATGTTTAAATTTATTTTATTCTGATCTATCTTCCATCAAAAATAGATGCAAACATATACCAAAGGGTAACAGAAAATATTTATAAAAATTTTATGAAATATATTTTTATATTTGCAGCCAATTTTGACTATTACTTGTGGAAATATTTCATAACCTCTTATGCAATTGCTTCAGAGAGAGGAAATAAAGCATCCTAGAACAATAAAAATGTTCAGTGTTTAATTTCTAAAATAGTTCCTCAGTGCCCATTTCAAATCAATCCATATAAAAATTAGCTGCAGAATAAGGAGTATGTTAGCATACAAAATACCTTGGCTTGGGAGAAGAAATGGAAGGAAAAGGCAAGACTTCTGAGTTAAAACCCCAGTCTCTGCTGGCCTCCCTGCTCACCCTTCCTCAGGATCTAAACCCACACAGTTGATTTTTGAGTGGAAAAGAGAAAGGTTTGAAATTCCCTGATAGATCTCTGAAGGATTGGAGGACCCTTACACTCACCCTGAACTTTCCCAGAGGGAACCATCAAAATAGAAGAAAGTCATGAAGCAGAAATGACAACATGACTTGTTTATTTAGGCTCATGATGTAAAGGAAACCTAACAGTCAATTTCTGTCACAGACAGTGACACGGAACACCTGCAGCAAACGGTGAGCTCAGAATTTCTTATGATTGGGATATTCTGCTATGCATGCTTTGCTAAATATTTACTTTTTCTGCTCTAGAACTTTACTTCTTTCTTAAATACAAAATTACAGTTCTCTGGTGAAATTCTCCAACTGTTTTATTTTCTTCAACACCCCTGTTTGACACTGCAGTGTTTGAATCACCCATGGGGCTGTAGCTGTTGGCTACTTCTTTCTATTGTCTTTCAGACATTTTATCTATCTTGTTTTTTAGGATGCTGTGTAATTTCTTAATACTAGACTTTTTTGAGGAACAATTTTAAGGGGCCTGGTAATTCTCTAACAATTGTTTGCTTTTCTTCAATTTAGATAGAAATCAGTGCTTTGATATGTCAGAGATTGGAACTGAGCTGTGTTAGGACTACCTTAGCTCTATACTTTCTTCTACAACGTCATTCTTAGCATTCTCGAAAGCACTGGTTCAATAGGTCCTCTCCTGAATGCCTAAGCCTCTTCCTGTGCTTTGTCACGGTTTAAACTCCATTATCTTCTCTTGTACAAGTGCAAAAATCTATGCTCAAGTTCTTAGCTTCTCTGTTGATGTTTTTGGTATCTGGTGTTTTTCAGAATCTTTTGCTGTAGTTGCATGGCTTAGAAATTAGCCAACACCCTTTAAGGGAGTTTGTGTATACAATTTTTAGTTCATTTCGCTTTGGTTCCCTTTTCTTTAAGATTATGTTCCTCGAGGCCCAACTTCCCTGGCAGCTCAGCAGGCTCCTTGCTTTGACACTACCGCCACTTCCTACTTACACTCTTGTGTTTTCCTAAAACACATATTCTGCAGGCAAAAAGCCAAAACAAAGTTAACTCATGAGCATGTTAACTCAGTAATTCATGTTCTTTCAGGTATGGTAGCCTCAGGAGTCATGCCTGCATTGTTGTTTCCTGGTGCCTTCAAGAGCTATTTTATGAATATTTTGACAGCTATAATGCTGATTTTGGCAGGGAAGTTAGTCCCTGAACTGAATCAGGAGTTAAAGGTTTATTTTAAAATCTGTGTCAGATAATGCTAGTAAGTATTGGTGTATTTCTGTTGTTTACTATTTCTGCTAGTTTTAATTCATTCTGTCTTTTCCTTTGTGTTCCTGAGAAGTAAAATTATTTGCCACGCATTGTATTTGTGAAATTGTTGGTAGAGATAAATGAGGTCTAGAAAACTATCATTTTTCTTTTCTCTTTTCTTTCCTTTCCTTTTCTTTTCTTTCTTTCCTCTTTGCTTTCCTTCTTTTTTTTTTTTTCTTTGTTTCTCTTTCTCTTGTTTGAGTCTTGCTATGTTCTAGGCAGGCCTTGAACTTGCTATGAGGCCCAGGTAGTAATTGCATGTATAATTTTTCTGGCTCAGCTTCCTGATTGCTAAGATTACAGGGATGCACCACCACATTGGCTCTGTAATATTTCTTTAAACATGACTTTTAATTTGTTTCTACTAAATAACTAAGGTCAAAGCACGTAGGACAGGGGCTGGAATGTGGCAAGCAGTTAACACATATTAAGAACACGTCAAGCTTTCTATTCCTAGTATCAGAACAACATCTGTTTCGTAGTTAATACTTTAAAATAGCTACTAAGTGGCATTACATACACACACAAAATCATAAATACTTTTATAGAGAGATAATATTATATATAGTTTCTAAAAGCATGATATAAATCTAGCATTTACCTTCAGATGGTCTTGGTATATTTTCTGCCTTTTCATTTTCTAAGGCAAGAGTTTCTAAGAAAAAAAAAAGGAAAATGGAATAGTTTTTGTGTACTTGTGAAAACTTATTGTGACTTCATTTTAATTGTTCATTACTTAATGAATTAGGGTTAGTCAAAGAAATGCATCTAGCATCTGCTTCTGGAAATTGTCAAAGTCATCTTTAAGTCATTCTCACCGCTCCTTTACACTACTTCTTCTGAGCCTTTGAATCTTCTCAATGGCTCTCAGCCCTCCCGTCTGGATAGAGAACCCAGTTCTGCCTTGGCAGATCGATGAGGTTGGGATTCCTGTTACTGTCCTCTTACCAGCGGTAAGCTAAAAGTATATTCCATCTTTCCCCCATGAAAACCCAGAAGAAGGGCATCACTTGCTTGCATTTCTTTTCTCCTTTTTCCTTTAACTGGACCCTTTATTACCAACAATGACTGGATTATATTTACCTAGTATAGACTGTCTTCGAGGTTTTCTTGGTAACGTTGGTTTTGGAAAGGAAATGGTAGATGGAAATTGATTAATGCTTATCCTCCCTGTACTAAGACTTGTGACACTGAGTGGAAACTGCACAGGCCACTGACTTTTTTCTTTAATAGATGAAGGGCTAGTTAGAGGGGTTGGCAATGTTACCATTCTCAGTAGGGGGTCAAGTTTGTATTGATGCTCAATATATACATTTTTGAAATTAGTATCAAAAATTGGGCAAGGAGCATTTACAGATTTCAGGCATGCTGAAGAAAGAAATAAAACATTTTGTAATTTTTCATCAATGTGAATATTTTCTATCTTGTAAGGTACTTTGGGGATTTTTTTTGATCTTTCCACCCGCTTTATTTCTTTCCTAAAAAGTTGAGGACACACTGAAAGATGACTTGGAAAAATTAAATGATCAGTAACAGTATCTGGAATGTGTGAATAGACGTTTTTAGTAGATTTGTAGATGGCTGAATCAGGAGTCAGTCTTTCTGGTTGAGGATAATCAAGAAAGATATTTTGAGTATGAAGTTCTTGTGTCCGACTTCTTGAAACAACATCAGGACTGGTTTTACCACTTTTAACTGAAGAAGTTTCATCTTTAATACCAATAAAGCTTACACGATGTGGCTTAGTTTTATCAGTCTTGACTAAATAAGAAAAAGAAGAAACACAAAATTAGATTATATTGATCAAGATGTTTGAAGTAAAAACTAATGTTTTAGCTTTCATAATTTTTCTTTGCACACTTACCTTTTTCTCACCTTCTAACTGCATTTCTGTGCATACTGCGCAGTTACTAAGACTTTTATCCCTCTGATAGAGATAACATTTGAGCAAACAATTGGAGAAGTGAAAAGGCTAAATTGTATTAGATTTAGAAAGGGTAGGGACCTATTATTGGAAGAAAAGATTCGATGGAGAACAAAATAAGATAGGAGGGGGAAGTTTTGAGAAGTTGCCATTAAATCTCCAGTTTGTTTGTTTGTGACGTGACCTCATTCTGTAGCCCAGGCTGGCCTTGAACTTGAGATATCCTCTAGCCTCAGCCTCCTGAGTGTTGGGATTACAAGTGTGCACCACCAGACCCAGATAGATCTTTGGTAATAGGAATAAATACGAAGCAAGGAAGCTGGACCTGGGCCTGATTTTCTTGTCACTCAGACCACTCTTCAGCCTCGGCACCCAGCATTGGATTATTCTGATTTAAACAGAACAATTATGTTTTAATGGAAAAGAGTTGTTGGGTAGATTCTGTGGGATAATTAAATACTCTACTTTCTTAAAAAAAATTTTAATGACAAAATGATTTTGATAAATTTTTGCTATTTTAGCTTTCCCCATCATGTGGCTTTTTTGGGTAACAATTTATATTTCTTTCCAATGCCACATGAAAAATCTGATGTGTAATATACGATGAGGGCCTCAACATTTTATGGAGGATGTAATGGTTCATTAGGGTAAGACTTGTGAGGAGATCGTCAAATGTAAGTCCTTCAATGCTAGCCTGTCTCCTACCTGTTGTCTTTACATGAGAGATCCATCTGGGTTCTGATAGAGAATTTCTTTTGAATACAGCTATTGGAGTGCTCACTGTTTCATAATAAATCTTCCCCTCCTGGTGGTCCCTAGAGAGAGGAAGATTTTCCCTACCTCATACAAAGAGGGGGACTCTACATTAAGGTTACAGAGGCTTGAGACAACCTGACCTGTGTCAAGCACTACAAGGGGCAGAAGGTCAGTGCTAGATTCTCACTTCAGCTCTTTAACACCTCAACTCCTCTCCACTCTTAGCCATACTTATAGAAGAGCCGGAAACCGTAATATGATTTGGGGAAAAGAAATAAAAAAAGAAAGTGGAAGAGCGGATCACACTCTTTTTTCCCTTGGCTTGCATAAAAATGGGCAGATCTAGATTGAGCTGGGCGAAGGGATAAGTTTTGACTGTATGTTAGTACTGATTCAGGCTGGAATAGTTCCTTAAAATCTGAAGATGACGCAGGGCTAACAGACAAAAGGCAGTAGAGATGCCTTGGAAGAGATGCACGCTACACGAGAACAATGTTTACTTCCTGCTTGTATGGAACTAACCAAACTAGTTCATTTCATAAAAAGATTACATCAATATCTTTATCATCTCTCTTTAATCTTAAAAGGAAACACAAGAAAACAAACAAATAATATAAGAACATAGCAAACACTTTCCATAGATCGCAGGACTCCTTCCCGATACCTGTATCCTGCCGTATTTATCTTTCTTTTCAATGGGAGGCTGAAGTAATTTACATTCATTAGTTTGACTTTCTCCTTCATTTTTCTCACTTTATTCTGCAATTTTTATTGAATCAATAAACTATTTTATTTACTTACTTACTTATTTATTTTTGGTACTGGGGATTAAACTCATGACCTCATGCTTGCCAAGCAGGTACTTACACCACTGAGCTAAACCCCTAGCCAATAAACTATTTTAGAAGGTTTACATATACAGAAAAATTAGGCAAGATACTAGTTACTATACACTACCTCCACCCCTGCACATGACTTTGCCTATTCAAAAAATTACTACCACCCAAAAGTAATTTCAGGGATCCTTTACCTTATTGTAGGTAGTGAGACCCTTACATTATTCATGCTTTCCTCCTTCCCTGACATCCTGGCAATCATGGTCTTTATTCCTGGCTCTTCAGTTTTGATTTTTTCCAAAATTTCAATTCACTTGGGTTACAAAATATTCTGCCTTTTCAGACTGCCTTCTTCACTTGCCAATAAGCATTCAAGTGGTTTGACAGCTCACACCTTTACAGTGCTAAGTAACATTACATTATCTAAAGGTGCCACAGGTTTGTTTACTGGCTCACCTTTTAAGTTGCTCTCAGTTGGGAAGATTATAATTAAAATTGCTATGAATATACATGTACAGGTTTTGTGTGGACGTAAGTCTTTAAATTCAGTTGGGTAAATGTTTGGGAGTGCAACTGTTGCATTGCCAACAAGTGCGGATAGCTTTTTAGAAAACTTACAAACCATCTTCAAAAGAGGCTGTACTATTGTGTGTTCCTCCAGAAATCCTCTTCTCTAGTATCTGGCATCATCAGTATTTTGGGGTTTAGCCATTCTAGTAAGTGTGCTATGATACCTTATGGTTTTGATTTGCAATTCTCTAATGATATACAATATTAACCGTCTTATTATATGCTCATTGGCCATCTAAATGTCTTATTTGGTGAGAGTCTTTTGTTCATTTTTAAAATTGGGTTATTTCTTCATTATTGAATTTAAATGTCCTTTGTCAATTTTGGCTACAATTCCTTTATTAGACTTCTGTTTTTCAAACATTTTCTTCCAGTCTCTGGCTTGTTCTCTCAATATTTTCAGTGTCTTATCCAGGTGTGATGGCACACACATTAGCACCCCAGCACCCAGGACACTGAGGCAGGCTGATTGCCATGAATTCCAGGTCAGCCTGGTCTACACAGAGTTCAACGCCACCCTAAACTACATAACAATACCCTATTTCAAAAATCAGACCAAAAGCAATAATAGTAAATAAAGTAAAAGTTTCAATTTTCAATGAAGTTTAAGTTATCAAATATTTCTTTTCTTAGATTCTTTTAATATTACACCAAAAAAGTTAGCATCAAGTTTAAGTTATCTAAATTTTCTCCTACATTATATTCTGTAACTTCTATAGTTTTGCATTTGTACATTTATTTCTTATTAACACTTCTTTTTAATTTTGAGTTGGAGTCTCATTATTTTGCCTGGGCTCACCCTGAAACTCCTCAGTTCAAGTCGTCCTCCCTAGACTGCAAGTGGGTACCACTAGGTACAGCTGGATTATGTTTTTGCATGTGGATGCCTAGTTGTTCTAGAACCATTTGTCAAAAAGACTAATTTCTTCTTTTACTGTCTTTGTTCCTTAAAGATCAGTGGACTGTATTCTATGAATTGTTTCTGTGCTGTCTTTTCTCATTTGTTGATGTGCGTTACTCTTACTTTGCCAAATACCACACTGTCTTAATTACTGTAGCTTTATTACTTGTCTTGAAGTTGGGCAAGATAGTCCTTATTCATCAGTATCATGTTGTGCATTATAAGTTTTTGCCTTTCCACATAAACTTGTATATTTTAAATTTTTATAATATACGTAAATTGTAATTGACACTGCGTTGAACTTATGTCAAGGTGAGAAGAATCGACATGCTAACAATATGGAGTCCTTCTAGTCATGAACTGGATGACATCGTCATTTATTTAGATCCTGTTTGGTTTCTTTCTTTGCAATTTTGCATTTTTCCTTGTATAGCTCCTGCCTGTACATTGTGTGACTTATACATAAACATCATTTTTGAGAACTAATGTAAATTATAAGATCTTAATTTAGTAATAATCATGCCATGAATAAACCTCATTGGCTATGATACTGCCATTGCACAAAGCTAAATTGTAATGTTTTATATTTCAAGTTCTAATTGTTCATTGCTAGTATATAGAGAATTATCCTTGTGTACAATAGTAAACCTGCATCTTTGTATCCTTCTACAAGCATGCTACTATTACTTAGTATTTCCAAGAATTGTTTTTTTATTCTTTTGGATTTCTTATATACATATAATCATACCTATCTGTGGACAAAGACAGTTTTTTCTTTATTCTTAATTGGTACAACTATAAGTTCATTTTCTTATTGTATTATTTAGAAGTTTCCAATACAATACTGAATAACAGTGATGAAAGAAGACATTCTTTTCTTGTTCTTGATTCTACAAGGAGGTCTTATTACTGAGTAAGAAGGGCAAGTTTAGGTATGTTTTATAGTAGACATTCTTCACCCAATTAAGGAAGTTCTCCTTTATTCCTGGTTTATATGAGTTTCTTCAAAACTGCGTGTTCAATTCTGACATATACTTTTCTGTATCGACATGTACATGTTTCTTATTTTTGAGTTTATTGATGTAATGGATTAGGTTGATTGATATTTAAATGTCAAGCTAGAGTTACATGTTTAAAATAAATCCAACTTGGTTGTGGTACTTTTGTATACATTGTTGAACTCAATTTACTTGTTTTGTTGGGAAATTTTATATCTATATTCATGGCATTTTAGTCTGTAGTTTTCCTTTTTAGTAATATCTTTGGTTTTGGTGTTAGAATATGCCTTCTTCCCAGAATGAATTAAGAATTGTTCCCTCTGATTCTATTTTGTGTGGGAGATTGTAGATAACTGTTATAATTTTTTCATTATATTTTTTATTTTGAAGAAAATAAAACCTAATGAAATAAGACAGAATAGAGTCAATCAAAACAAAACAATGAACGTGGTACAGGACTTCAAAACAAAATAAAAAGAAATCAATAATGGCTACCATAATGCCTTCTTGTTATCTTCAAAATAACTGCCCATAACATCAGTCATAATAAAATCAAACAAAACAGAATAAAACCAACCAAAACAAAACAATGAAACCTATATAGGATTCCAAAACAAGATAATAGGAAAACAACAGTGGCTACTATAATGCCTCTTGTTATCTTCAAAGTAACTGCCTATACCATCAAACATAGTACAATCAAACAAAACAAAATAGAATAAAATCAATAAAAACAAAACAATGAAAGCAATACAAGGGTTTCAAAGCAAGATAATAGGAAATCAATAATGACTACCATAATATATTTTGTTATCTTTTAAATAGTTGCCCATGCCATCAAGTATAATAAAATCAAACCAAACAAAACATAATAAAGCCAAACTAATCAGAACAATGAAAACAATACAAGTTTTAAAACGTGCTAATAGATTAATAATAGCTACTGCCTTCCCTTTTAAGACATTCTTCCCCTTCTACTTGCACAATATCTATTGTGGATTTTGGATCCTACTAACTCTTTTAGTTTTTTATAGTAGGGAGACAACACAATGTTCATCCATGTGACTGAACCATTTCATCCATGAGCATGAAACCAAGTTGTATCCAAGTACCTACAAGAGACTCAAGGTTATCTTTATCATTGTATAAAAATCCCATGTCTTTTTTTATCTATTCTGCAGTTTATAGGCAAGTTGCCACCTCTTTTTTCTGGTAGCCTGTCACATACGGCATTGTTCACTCTCATTTGACTTTAAGTGTATGAAATTTTCTTTCAAGTTAAATGTGTTTTTTATATAAAGTATATTGATGATCCTGTCTTCTGATCCACTCTGCCTGTGTTTCTTTTACAATTTCTTGTTTAAATGTTTTGTGTAAATGTAGGTTTGTTCATAATATTATTTTTTTAATGTCTTGGAGATTAGAAGTGATGACTTTTTTATTTCTAGGATTAGTAATTTGTTCTCTCTGTGTCTCTTTCTGGTTAGAATGAGTAGAGTTTTAGCCATTTTAACAATATTTTTAAAGCATTAACTTGTGATGTCACTGATTTTCTCAACTACTTATTTTTAAATTTTACTTATTTCTCATCTAAGTTTTATTATTTATTTTCTTCTGCTTTCTTTAGATTTATGCTGGTCTTTTTTTCTAGTTTCCTGAGGTAAAATCCCAAATTATGTATTTTAGATCATTCTTCTTTTTACGATATATGCATATTCACAGGCAGACATACTCTCTGAGTCCTGTTTTTGCTGTTTGCCACAAATTTTAATAACCTGTATTTTCATTTCATTCAAAATATTTTTAGTCCTTTGATCTATAAGTTATTTAAGAATGCTGCTTATAGCAAAGACAAAGCAGGAGGCATCACAATCCCTGACTTGAAGTTATACTACAAAGCAACAGTAGTAAAATCAACATGGTATTGGAATCAAAACAGAGCCGAAGATCAGTGGAATAGATTAGAAGATACAACCACAACTACAAACACACTCAACCACCTTATCTTTGATAAAGGAGCCAAGCAGGTTCACTGGAAGAACGACAGTCTCTTTAATAAATGGTGCTGGAAAAACTGGCTCTCCATTTGCCGAAAACTAAAGCTAGACCCATGTCTATCACCATGTACTAAATTAAAATCTAAATTGCTCAAAGATCTGAATATTAAAACAGAAACACTAAATCTATTGGAAGACAAATTAGGTAGAAACCTTGGAGACATAGGAGTAGGTAAAGAATTCATGAACAGGACTCAAACCGCACGGGAAATTCTTCCCAGAATCAATAACTGGGACCACTTCTTATTAAAAAGTTTCTGCATGTCAAAAGAAATCTCCAGCATAGTGAAAAGAAAACCCACAAACTGGGAAAAGATTTTAGTGAACTCTCTCTCAGACAAGGGCCTCTTGTCTAAAACATATAAAGAATTAAAGAAACTCAGACCTCCAAAATTCAAAGATTCAATCCAAAAATGGGCATCTGAGATGAATACGCAATTCTCAGATGAAGAAATGCAAATGGCAAATAAATACATGAAAACATGCTCATCATCATTGGTCATTAGAGAAATGCAAATTAAAACCACACTGAGATACCATCTCACTCCTGAAAGAATGGCCAGGATCAAGAAAACCGACAACAAATGCTGGAGAGGCTGTGGGGAAAAAGGAACTCTCCTGCACTGCTGGTGGGAGTGTAGACTGGTACAGCCTTTGTGGAGATCTGTCTGGAGATTTCTCAAAAAGTTGGGACTGGAAATCCCATTTATTCCAGCTATTCCACTTCTAGGCATATTCCCAGAAGAACTGAAAGCATCATACCACAGTGATATATGTGCACCTATGTTTATAGCAGCACAATTTGTAATAGCCAGATCTTGGAAACAACCCAAGTGTCCATCAACTGAGGAATGGATAAAAAAGTTGTGGTATTTCTATACAATGGAGTATTATTCAGCTATAAAGAAGGATCACATTGAGATATTTATCAATAAATGGGCACAGCTTGAGACCATACTCACAAGTGAAATAAATCAATCTCGCATGTGTGAATACCGAATAGTTTCCCTAATGTCTAAGTAATGACTCAAATATATAAAAATAAGTGTTAATCATGATTCCCCATTAGGTGGCCTTGAAGCCTTATAAAGTTTTCACTCATTAATTAGAAAGGCTTTATTCTGGGCTTCTTGATATGAAAATATTTGAAGCTAGAGTATATGAAGTTTTATCCAAACATTTCAAGGAAAAAGACAGACACTATGGTAACTACTATTAAGTCGGGTTATAGGGTGGTGAAGTACTAGGTTGCTGAAACAGTCATGCTTTGACCTCTATTGTTATATTGCTTTGTCCTGTTTTATCTTAATCTCCCCCTTATTGTTTTTAAAAAAATTATTTAGTCATTTCTTATGTTTGTCTTAAAGAAAAAATTTTAAAAATTAGGATATATAAATAGTAACTCTTTTTGATTCCCTATTAACTTGTTTTGAAGTCCTGTAGTACTCCCACGATCTTGTTTTGACCGATTAGACTCTGTTCCATTCTATATCATAGTATCAAGTTTGAAGACATAGGCAACTACTTTGAAGGCAATAAGATTCACTAAGATACCCATTCTGGTTTGACTATTGTCTTCTTTGGAAGTCCTGTAATGTTTACAATGCCTAAGTTTTATTGGTCTTGTTCTCTACTGTTTTGTCCAACTTTATAATATCTAATGAGATAGACAATTGTTGATAACCTTGTACTCTGTTCTACATCATGTGCTATGTCTATCCTTGGTTTTGACTGACAACTTTGTTTTGCCATATTTGACTTTATTCTCTCCCCCCCAAAAAAGTAATAAGAACTAAGGAGTAATAAAATCCAAAATGTGTAAATTTTGTTGTAAAAAAGAGAGGGGAAAAAAAGAGCTCTAATGGATATAACAGCAAGTATGTTTAGGGGTGTTAAATAGCTGACTATATTAATGTTTTTGGATCATTGAACACAGCTGTTTGCAGTCTCCCTGTTTGAATGTCCACCTTGTATTCTTTGAAACTGTGATTTGAGCAACTATTTTCAAGATGATAATATGTAATCTACTAACAGGTGATTTCTTACTGTTATGTTTTTTTTTGTTTTGTTTTGTTTTGTTTTGTAGTTCTGTATTACGTGTACCCTTACACGGCTTTGTTTTGGTTTGTGTTTTTCTCTTTTTCCTCTTAAATAAAAAAAAAAAAAAGAATGCTGCTTATTTCCCAAAATATAAAATTTCCATCTGTCTTTTAGAGATTTTTATATATTTACCAAACCCACAAATGAGGACCAATGATTGTACGGCTAGAATTGTTAATTCGATGTTATAACAAACATCTGTAAGTTATGATTATTAGCAAGCGTCCTTAACAATTGTGATTCTTAGCTATGCAACACAGGGAATTTCTACGTAAAATACATAAAGATTAAAACATATATCTGATTAATACACATACCTCTGTGGATTTTCTTCTTATATGAAGGCAGTTTAGGGATTTGGGGAGGTAAGGGTCTTCGAAGAAGCAGTGGATACTGTTTCATTTTAATAAATAATAAGCGATGTTTTTCATAAGGACCAATCAAGTGAGACCTGAAAAATTTTTTAGTATGTTTGAATTGTGGCTGAAAAAGAATTTATTATAACTCAGATTGTATATTTAAAACCATTCTGTATTAACACTACCCTGCGTCCAAGCAGAATTTATAATGAAAACGCTAATTATATATATATCGTAAAGCCTCCAAAAATTTAGGTTTATAGTTAGCACAGAATTTTAAAATACATATGCTATTACGTATCAGGACCATTCCAAAATTTTTCATTTGTTAGTAGAAAATTCAATCTGCCAATGCTATTTCAACCAATTAAATGGTAACTGTTTTTTACTGTAAAGATGGTATTTCTTTTACTATTTTCCAAATGTTATTACATTTAGAAGGAGTTTTTGGCCTAACAGATACAGAAAATTCATTATATACGCCTCCGAGGGCCGACAGTATCAATTCATAAGTAAGTTGTTTTCGTACAATAATAATTTGTTTTAAATTTTTTTTTAGATTAGTATAGTTGGTGCATTACCATGTAATACAAAAATCAGGAGGGATTTAATACAACGCAGTTTCCCTGGATCGCTGGGATTCTCGCTTACTACCGTTTAGAATGAAGAAAAAAGGTGCAGCCAGATGCGCGTTTAGCTTGCCGGGCAACCTCAGAAGTGCCTGGCACGCCTGCGCTCCGTTGACAGCCGGAAGGGAACTGCGACTGCACAAATGGGATTTTTTACCGTCAAAAGATAACTTCGCCCCCAAGCGCTCAAGATTGGCGCCCTGGCGGCACCGCCCACTGGAAGCTGACAGTTTCCCTTCTCTAGTATCAGAAGCGATGCCTGGAAGCTCTGGACTCCAACACTAGTCAACTGCTTTCCAAACCAACCACATTTTCATCTTCCATCTCCTTTTCCTCCGAATTTAGAATCCAAGTTACAGTGCCGAGAGAAGCTCCCGCCACCCAGCCCAAGACCCTAGCAACCAGCAACGCTGGACGCTGGCCCGCCCGCTCCTGGAAGGCTCCGACGATGGAGGGGCAGGTGGGCGGGGCCGGGAGGAGGGCGGAGACGGCTGGAGGCTGGGCTGAGCGCTGGGCGGGCGTGGCTGAGCGCTGGGCGGGCGTGGCCTAGCGCTGGGTGGGCGGGGCGGGCGGGGACTGGCGGGGATGGGCGGGGACTGGCGGGGATGGGCGGGGCGGAGGACGTGGAAACCGCGGAGCGCCGGGCGCGCGCCCCTGGAGGCCCCACAGCCCCGCCCACTGCGTGTGCGCGGCCCCGCTCTGCAGCCCGCGGGTGGTGTCCGGCTGCTGGGCAGGATGCGGGCGGTGGGGCCGGAGGAGAAGTCGCTCCACGTGCAGCCGCTGTACGGAACGCCGCGGTGACAATTATTACTATTCTTATTCTTAGTGACAGTGAGCACTGTTGATTTACTTTTCTCTAAATGCTTGACTAGGTACCGAGAGTCTGGGCTGGCGTTCTTTAATGATGATGCGCTGCTCACTTGGCAGTGCCCCAGAAAGTGAACATTCTGATTTTCTCTTCCTTTGACGGGACCTGTTTTGTCTTTTTGATCCGAAATACCGGTTGAAGAGTGGCTGTGTATGAACAGCTGGTATCAGGGGGGAATTCAAGCGGTTAAGTGATCCCCATTTCTCGCTGTTAGAGCTGCTTGTTCTGCTTATCATTTCATGACTCCCGTCTTCTGCCGTGGTGTGGATGAACCTGTATGCGCAATGATAGATACATGAGTGTGCTGTGTGTGCGTGCGTGTTTTCTGGAGTCTGAGGGAGAAAGAGCATTAGGAAGAACTCTGCAGGTAGAAGTAGAAATCCCAATCCGAAAGTGGACGACGTGGGGCTTCCTTGCAGCTTGTTCCCACCCCCTGTTTGCTTTTGAGAACAGGTGCAGGAACTTCTAATAACAGTTGGAAAATGCGAAACCTCCGTGGAAGTATTGTTGAGATTTTGGGAATCTTTCAAGATTCACTCTCTATTCAGGTTTTCCTTTTTCTACTTAGGAGCAAGCCACTATTTTAAAATAATGAAAAAAAAAGTGGAAAAAGACTCTGGAAAATATTATGCAAATTGTTTCCTTTCGAATATTAGCATTGAATTTCTTTTCCTTTAGGGATTAGTTTGCTCTTAAGTATATATCCCCGAACATGAATTTATTCTTCTTTGGCTTGTGTCTGTATCATGGATTAATGAACTTCTTCAAAAAGCCAAGAAAGTAGATAGTCAAAAGGCAGATCTGATGGCCGGGTTTTGTTTCAGGTAGTATATATTGTACATATTTTGTAAATGTGAAAAACAAATATTTGTGAAGCATAAAGCAAGCTATATGTGCCAATATATGCAATCAAGTTCCTTACACTCTTGAAAGTCGTTTAGATCATGATAACTACTGGAATTCAGTTTAACTAACTGATGCTTGGCTTTAAATTTATGCCTTTAAATTATGCAGTCAAAATCAAGACAATACACTTCTCAATAATTTTTTAAAATGCTTTGTCACACATAGAATCAGCAAGCATCAATCTACATTCCTTGTAGATTTCTTTTAGAGTACCAGATCAAATTGTGAGACCATTTAATACTCTTCTTAGATAAGAATATTTTGTCTTCTACTGTTACTATTATTTAAGCAAATTAGTTCTAATGAAAGTAAAGTCAATGGCTTGGTATATTTTATGTGTATATCTCAGTTATTCTAACACATTTTACATGCTTTACATATAGAAATGTTACACAAATGTAAGATGGATTTTGAAGGCACAAACCAGTCAATTGGATTATTTTTCTGCTTTTTAGATTTAGCCTATTATTTTTCAAACTATTACTGCTTCCATTTTCTCCTTTTAAAAAATAATTAGTGTATATCTCTTTAATGTCATGGCACTGCTTTTATTTTAAGGGCCTGTTTTATCTGATGTTCAGTACAGTCAGGCTATTTACTCGGCACATCAATTTTGCAGTTTGGCAGAACTACCTGAAGAAGCTTGTCAAACTGAATCACGGTGCTGGTGTTCTGTTAGCAGACTGATTAAGGCGGCCAGAGTAATGGTAAGCAGCAAGGTTTCAGACTTCCTGCATCTGGTTTGCTCGTTGGTTTCCTATGTTGCTAAAATGAGATAAAAGCCTTATGCAAAAAGCAGCTTTAGCCACCCCAGGCAGGTAATGCTATTGATCCCCTAATGAATGGGGTGTGTTCTCAGGAACCTCAGATTTGTTCTTGGTGAAAGGACACAGTTTGTTGGAGTAATGTAAAAAATGTCAGAAATCATCATTTTTTGTAGACTTCTCTTCTACTTATTTATTTTCCTTTTAAATGGACAGCAGTTTGCTAAACAGTTTGGCTAATGTGAGTTTAATCTAGTATTTTACTATATGGATAAGACTGAAATAATTTGCATTTTATGCTCATATTTGTTTTTTAAAATGCCTTTAAAGAATGGTTATTTTTGCATGCATATTAGTTTAATATTGAATCTCTAGGGTAACCCAGAATCTTTAAATGCTTTCAACAAAGAAATGTTTTCTTGGTCTATATTTACCTGTTTATGTGAATTCTATGTACTGGGAAATGCCTTTACTTTTCGCTAGTCGCAGTGGCTTAAACCCATAAACTTATGTCAAATGTTCATGTGCTCTTGCCTAGAAAACAGTTTTATGTTTTCTCAGATGTTAATAAAGATATTTGGAAGACAGCTTTTCTCTTTATACCTCATAGTTCACTGCAAGACCAAACTTCATTTCTGTTCTTCAGACCAGCGTTGATCAGTTATTTTCCTTTACCCTTTAAGCTGATGGTTATTTCTTCTCCTTTGTTTGAACTAGAGATCATGGGATTTCTTTTAAGAAAATATTACCAATAAGGAAATGACTTTCAACCTGCATATGGAATGTGAAAAAATCCAAACATAACAATAGGGCAATGTCTGTCTTTAAAAATGTATTTGTGAGTTCAGTCACTGGTTCAGAATGATACATTAGACAACTACTATACGTACTTTGCTAGGTGCTAAACTTTAAACTTTATTAAAATAATTTATGTTTAATTTGAGCCTTTAACATTTTAGACACTAAAATGAAATTTTAAATCATATAACTACTTGAGGATATTTTTCAATTTTTGATGTTAACATGTATTTATTGGAATGAAAATGTATCCACTATATTCCATCATGGGAAACTTTTTCTCCAACTTTTTTTAATATGTTGTTTGGGTAAAACAGTATTTATTTATTTATTTATTTATACTGCCCCAAATACTTCAAAACAGTTTTGCCTTCTTAGATACAGTGAACATTTTAGGATATTTGGCCGTAAGCAACTGTTACTAAATATGTGTGTGTTGTATAATTGAATCTTCACCAGAAAAGATAAATCATATTTATTTCCTTGATGTTCAGTTGACTAAGCAGCATTGTCTTCAGCGCTATGAGTTATGAAATATCTGCTCTTTAAGCATGAACAATACTTGTTACTTCCTATGTGGAAGACACCATGGCAAGTGCTGACATTATGTTTTATTGTACTCCACAGTTATCACGCTGAAAATACTGGGATTTACATTAAGTTTCAATAAAAGACAGCATAGTATATAGCTCAGTTCATCTGGATTCGAATCTCCCTGTGGCTCCTTGTTGTATGCCCTTGAGCTAGCTGTCTAACCTCTCTACACCTTTGAGATTTCCTTACCTGTGGAAGTAGGGGAAAACGCTATCCGACTCAAGTCCTTATGAAGATTTAAAGACGTCACCTGCCTCTATGTTTAGTTCTATGCTAGCCATAGAGCAAACGCTCAGTAGATAACAGTTATTCAAAAATTAAAATAAGAATCCAAACAACTTGAGTTTCCCATCTCCCAGTCCCTGCTTCATGTGATGGTAGCTGATCCTCATGGAAACCCTGAGCATTTCTATCATGTTTGCTGATAACACTGAATATTAGAGGATCTAGTTTACAGCTTTCAGCAACGCTCAAGCAGTGTGCTAGGAAGTGTCCTATAATCTATCACTGGTCCTTATACCTTGGCTGCTGAGGAATGGTGGCACAGTGCATGGCTGAAAGAGTCCAGGAACAGTGCGGGGTCTAAGGAGGCCTTGACATTTTATTTGTGTGTGCGAGCTGCTGTCAGCATTGCTTGAGCTGGGCTAAATCCATATGAATTTCAACCAGTAAGCAAGGATGAAAGGCGCTTTGTTCCCTGCCTCCCGGACCAGCTTGAGAGCTTAAGCAAAAAAACTGTAGTGTGAATCTCCTTTGAATGGCTATAGGGTAAGGTATTACAAAAACATATAATCATCCTCAAGTTTTTCTTACTGTGCACAGCTTAGAGAGTTGAGATTAAGTCCTTGGGCCTGTCTGGAATTTAGTTTGAAACTAACAAGGAGGATGTAGCATGCCATGCAAATGTAACATGAGCTATGTGGCCTTGATTTGGCTCTGCACAGATGCCTTACGGCATTTAGAAATACTTTGCAGTGATTTGTGCTTTAGTCTCATGTCAATAGCAATTTAAGGTTTTACACAGCAGATACATTGATTTGCTTTTCAAACCTATTTTTCTGCTTTATGCTCACTGTTCTAACTGAATATATTGTTTGTTCATAAGTGTACTAAGGCCATAAATTGCATAAGGCATGCAGTACTGGGGATGAGCAGAGACTGCCTGGAGGTGGAATGCTGTACTATATTCTCCGAGTTGAAGAGCTTGCATTCCTTAGACTGCAGCTGGACAACTGGAATTGTAGTTTATATCCGTGTACCACATAGTTCAGTATGCCTTGACAGTTCTGCTGCATTTCTACTCTCATAATATATTTTGATATCAGAAATTTTTATCAAGGTTAGAGTGATAAAAATTCCTGGACAGTGCTTCTCTCCCCACATTGCCCCAAGCAGTCACATGCCCTTGGAGTGTGAAACATCTTCCTTCATTTCTTCTGCCAGTAATCCCAGGTCATCCCCACAAAGGAAGAGAGCTTGATGTTCGCCTGGTGCAGGAGCCCTGGGGAAGGCAGGTCATGGGCTTTCTTCTTCCTTGCACCGCAGTTCCAGGTAGAGCAGCTGTTTTTGTAAGTTTGACATAGGCTGTGGCAAAGACTTACTTTGAAGAGTACATTTTACGAGCAAAATAAAAGATAGATAATAGGAATCGAGGAGACATCTTTTGCAAAAGGGAAGGGGACAAAGAGATGGCAGGAGTGGAGAGGGACAGAAGGGGAAGGGGTTTTAAAAAATAATTAAGAAATTTGCATGCAAACCACAAAACTAAATGGTTTAAGTGCTTTCAGCGTTCAGATGTGGTCTGTGCTCCTGCGTCTCATTGGATGGGTAGCACCCTGCTCTGAATCATGGT